TCATTTTTAAAAAAAATACTATTTTAAAAAGCTAGATATAAACATAAAAAAAAAATCTTATACAACAATTTTATTTCTAAAATGTAACATTTGCCATTGACAGTGTTCACTGAAAATTAAATGTAGACTTTAAACAAGCATGCACATTTTGCTCATAACAGGGAAACTAATAACCGATACACCATTGTTACAAACATTTTTAAAATCCCTTGTTTTTGACAGACGTTATCAATTTTTAACAAATTTTTTCAATTTTTAACAAATTTTTTCAATGTCAGAATAAACCATTCAAAGTTCACTTGGTAACTTAAGATTACACAAAATAAAACAGATATAAAAACTAGCAACAATGCTTTATTCTGTACATCGTTGAGTTTGAGTCGATGTGAACTTATTGGGGCAATCTATTGTTTCGATACATTTTAAAACACAAATGAACAATTCTTAAAAAATAACATTTGAATTTCTTAGACCTAAAATTTGGCTGAAATAAAGTGAAATCCTTATGAAGTCAACGCAGAATTAAATACCTAAATAGTTTCAAATAGATTAACGAAAATTTAAGTTTAAAAAAAAATGTATTTAGTACTGTAAAGTTGTTTAAAAAAATCAACTCATCAAGTTGTTCCAAGATCGCAAACAACTCTCAACAGATTTATTCAAATATGGTATAATAATATCATGTGAAAGCTCTAGTGTAAAATCACATGTCTCAGTGACTTATTGAAAAAAATGTTTGGCTGTTTTAAAGCAATGAAATCCAACAACAAACAGTAGATCCTTTATTGTGATCCAGAGACAGAAATAATGTTACAAATAAATATTCAGAAAGACAACACTTAGTGAGCATGACAAAAGTTTGTTTAAATACTAAGTTGTTAGTTAATCCAGGGTTTCCCTACCTTGCCTATATTCTGCAACCACTTTAAATTATTTGACCAAATCTTGCATCTTCTACAAAATTAACAACCGGAAGAAAAAAAAAAAAGGACTTCAATTTTAAAAAAAATTAAATTGCAAAGAAAAAGAATTTTAAATATTAACTTGTGACTTATTACATAAGGTAAAATGAAGAAAATTTAAAATAATAAAATAAGATCATACATCATAACGGAAAAGCTTACGGCTCCTCTTTTTTTTTTTGCTACCATTTTTTAATGCACCTTCTAAAATTGGTAGGGAAAATCCGAGTTAAAATGTTCTTTTCACAACAATGTACAAAACTACAAACACATTGTCCGTTGATGGTGAACTCTAATCTAAACGATAGATTTTTTCTCCACCACTTATCCAGGAATTTATTTCATTCACAAGGAAGAACACAACACAATAACCAGACCACCGTTCATTTTAAATTGTAAAAAGAATAAAAATTATATTTTTGATTTGGATTTCCATCACGATTGAACATTTTATAAAACACTTCAGGAATGCTTAGGGCTCAAAATAAAAAGTATGAATGAACAAAAGGGACACACAGGTATAGTATATTTTGTTCCAAAAAATATCTCACAGGTTAAATTAGAGTTAATGCTGTTAAAAATGCGACATGAGATTCCCATATGTACATCTTCAGTATATAGTTATTTAAATGTCAAAATGGTTAGAACGCTATGCACATTGTTCAGTCAGGCAATCCAGCCCACTAAACAAGATACAATTTTATGTTTTAGGATTAACTTCTCAATGATTGTTAAACATCATAAATGTCAGTAAACCCTTTTACAGATTTGACTATAAAATCATCAGCATAAATGATTTCTCAAATACATTTTAAAAAAGAAAAAAAAAAGATTATCATTTTTACCAGTTAAAAGTTTACCCTTCAATTTACCAAATTGAGTTTTGCTTGCTTCACATGCTACACATCAATACTACTAGACAAAATGAGCACACAATAAAACACACAACAGTTTTTAATGCATTTTAAACATCATTTTATTTTTTTTTTTAAAAGGAAGATTTATATGAGTAATTAAGTTTGGTATTTTCCCCATTTCCACTTAATTTTTATTCTTCTTGTTTTATTCTTCTTGTTAAAGTTAAACGCTTTGAAATATAGAATTATAACACTTACACTTACAAATTTAACCGCTAAATCCTGCCACAATCTTTGGCAAGATTTAGTTTCAGCTAAAAAAAAACAACCTCTAAATTTTAATTACGACAAATACAATTAGCAAATTAAAAGAACATTTTTGGGGTTAATTTTCCATGTGTTCTTTTTCACTTGGCTGTAGAGAGAATGTTAAAATATGGAATACATCAATAATATTATATAACTTTTCCCAAGAGGATGCCACATTTTTGCAGCAACATAATGAGATGTGAAGTTAAAGTTACAGTGCTTCGGATGACTCAAATGAGTATTCATTTAATGAGGTGAAATCCTGGGAACATCTTTTTGTTTTTCAATAATGTATATCACCCCAAAACAAATCAATGAAAAAAGAATTAAAAACACAAAATATTGCAGGTGACCAGCTATAAAAATAACTTCTCCATGAATTGCCTTTCTTAGTCTAACAGCTCAGCAAGGTCCACTAACATCATAGTTCCCATGCATATTTTAGCTCAAATTCCCCTTGAGCGAACTAAAATATCTGTTTTTAATTGTAACCAAATTGTGCGTAGATAAATGACAGATAATTATGACAACTCTCCACATAAATGACAGATAATTATAAAGACAACTATTCAACACACCTTACAGTGTATCATTCTCCAAGCACATTTAACAAAGTAGCAATGACAGATTCTAATGATTTACAAAATAACATCAAAGTATCTAAAAAAAATATTTCTTCTTTCAAATATGCACCAAGTTCATCGCAACATGAATATTTCATAACAATAATTTTCAATGTATTGATGACAGCTACTTTTTGTGTGTGTAAACTCTGCACAAAATCTTGAGGTACATTACACCTCAGTTTAAATGATATTCATATTTGTTACAACAAGAGTGAACATTGGCGCTTCATGTGTTTAACAATAATTTTGTATATTAATTTAAAACAATTTTAGCTTCACACAATTATTTGGCGCTTAGTGATGATTCAACAATAGGAGGGTAAGAGGAAGGAAAAGTTTCCAAGGGGCGTGGGCATCAGCTTGAGCAGTATAAAATGTATGTTGGCAGGGTTCTTGGATGAAGTTAGGATTTTTTTTTTAAAGCAGATAAAAATCAGACAAAAAGTTTCTCATATTTGGCATAGCTTTAAATCACATTTTTATATATATACATACAGGGGGCCCAAAATGTATGAGCTTTACAATTTATGTAGTTAAAATATTATTTTATGTTCTTTGTTCTGGGTTAAAAAGGGCTATGAGTATTTATAGGTTCGGTATTCTATGTTTGTAGGTTAGATGTATATATATATAGTAAATACAAAAAAAAAATTATAAAAATTATAATTTATGACTAGAATTTTAAGTTAAAAATGTGTTGAGAGCAGCCACACAGCTGATCCAGGTACATCATATGTAGAAAACAGTTCAAAACCTGAAACAGCTTGAGGTATTCAATAGGATTAAATCGTATTTAAAAAATGGTAAATATTTATGATAAATAAGCACAGAGCTATAATATGATATGATTTGAGCTATGTTCGCAGAGAACTATGACTGGGCTAATCAACACTAATATGACAAGTTCTAGGAGTTATAAATATCCTCTATCAGCAGCAGTTTTGAGTAATAACTACAGAACAATCAGCACAGACACAGGGACAATTCTTACACATATTAATATTATCTTTCATTTAATCATGAATAAAATTAATTGAATTTCAATGTGTATATTTATAATCTTTTGTCATATCTGCATGAGATTTTACACTGAGCTTATTGATATTAGATAAGATTTTTTTCAATATTAAAAAAAAAAGAAATTTAAATATAAAAAAAAAAGAATGCATGGATCTCCCATATTCAGTAGAAATCTGACTAACTTTAATGTTTGTGTGGGCAATGAGGATCTCCCATGTTCAGTAGAAATCTGACTAACTTTAATGTTTGTGTGGGCAATGAGGATCTCCCATGTTCAGTAGAAATCTGACTAACTTTAATGTTTGTGTGGGCAATGAGGATCTCCCATATTCAGTAGAAATCTGACTAACTTTAATGTTTGTGTGGGCAATGAGGATCTCCCATGTTCAGTAGAAATCTGACTAACTTTAATGTTTGTGTGGGCAATGAGGATCTCCCATGTTCAGTAGAAATCTGACTAACTTTAATGTTTGTGTGGGCAATGAGGATCTCCCATATTCAGTAGAAATCTGACTAACTTTAATGTTTGTGTGGGCAATGAGGATCTCCCATGTTCAGTAGAAATCTGACTAACTTTAATGTTTGTGTGGGCAATGAGGATCTCCCATGTTCAGTAGAAATCTGACTAATTTTAATGTTTGTGTGGGCAATGAGGATCTCCCATATTCAGTAGAAATCTGACTAACTTTAATGTTTGTGTGGGCAATGAGGATCTCCCCCCCACTCACAATTATTCTGATTGAGTCAAGTATATTAAACAAATGGGTATCATGTACATTTTTAGGTGGGAAATGCAGCGTTCTATACTAAGAGAAACATTACTTTGGAAATCCCTGCTACAAGTGGCTATCTTCTATAGATTTCTGGCATGGTCTACAATAATTAACAAAGTAGACATAATCTGTAAAGGTAGTTGCAAAAATCAAAATTGTCAACAAAGAACTGGATTAGATCATTGGAATCATTTAAGTTAAAAAAAAATTCATAACCAACATGTCCTTTGTGATAACGAACACTTCTTCAGTCAGGTTTGAGAATCATTGTGTAAACTGCAATCCTCAAAAATATTTATATGCTTAACAGTAAAAAAACACTGTTGTGTCAAGAATAAGGTAGACTTTTCCCCCTGCTGATCTCTTTCCATAAGTGCAGGACTCGTTTGATTAAAATTCGTGTCAATCAAATGAGCAGTTGTGAGAAGCACTGTTGAAAACTGCCACAATATTTTACACAAAGTTCTCATCACTGTGTGAACACATTAGGAAGGAATCCATCAGTTGAGGCGTGACCAGCTGCTGGTAATCCAAGTTGGAGATGCCATCACGTCCATACAAAGTGCAGACTTTACGAAGAGCAGCCTGGTGGGATCAATGGCAAACCTGTTAAAACTTGTGCATAAAAACACAGATGATGTCCATTTAAAAAATATACATGTCATAAAAGAATTGGTGTTTCTGCTAGTAAATATTTATTGATTAACTTTAGTATGCACTGAAAATCTTTCCCAACTGTGGATAAAACTTACCTTATACAGTCAGTGCTTTTTACTATGATTAAGCTGCATAAGTATGACTTAAATGCTATTAAAAAAATAAAATATAGATGATGGCCTCCATTAAAAATATAATATTAATGTTCCTACCAGACATGCTACTAACACAGCATCACTGTTGTTCCTGGCCTGTGAGTCACGACACAACTCTATAAACCTTGGAATGCCTAAAATGAAAATGACAAGCCAGGCTAAAAATGTTGAATAATAAAAAATGCTCTTGGTTTACAAACATATTGTTTCAAATTTTAAATATCCAATTAAGGAGGAAATAAAATTATCTTACAAACTTTTAAAATTGCATGGTTTCATTAAAATGCAGTAAAAGATCATTTTAAAAATGAAATTTTATTTGATAAATCACTTTTGTATCAGAAAAAGTCCTAAGTATCACCTTTTTGCCGTATGACTTTATAAGTATGGCGGGTATCCTGACACAGACGCATCAGAGCTATAGCTGCCTTCTGTTGGACACGCTCACAAGCCGATCTCTCAGCTGTACTGGACAGCAGGCATGGTTTCTGGTGTAAGAAGCTGACAAGAAGATCAAGCCCCCCACAGCATCTGATACTCTCCTGGCACCCATTGATGGCAGCCATGTTGGCAAGAATAGTTGCTACCTGAGGCATGGCCAGGAAATCAAATATTGTGTTACAATTTAGGATTATTTTAATTCATGATAACTACCATTTATGATTATATTAATTTATAACTACAATTTAGGATTATATTAATGTATGATAACTACAATTTTTTAGGATTATATTACCGTATTTATTGGCGTATAACACGCCCCAGCGTATAACACGCACCTCAATTTAAGAAGGAAATTTCAGAGAAAAAAAAATAAACATTATATTGGCGTATAACACGCACACATGATTTGCCCCCTATTTTCGGGGAGAAAAAGTGCATGATATACGCCAATACATATGGTAATTGAGGATAACTTTAAATTTAAAATGAGGCAAATTTAATATTTATTGTTTACAATGTAAGGGAAAGGCTAATTTTGCAACAATCTAATGATGATAAAAGTAAACATTAGTTTTGACAGCTAAATAAGTCTGTCATGATGAGCTAGAACCATAAAGCAAATAATTACTGCTGAAATTTTTAAAAAGCCAGTTTAAGTTATTACAGGACAATGAAGTCTTCAAGCAACTTTATTGTTTATTAAATGAGGGAATGAAATATTATTTTTTCTAATATAGTTCAAAGCTCAGTATTTTTTCAAGATACAAGAAGAAACCTGAATGTAATACGAATTTAATTTAATTTGTGTCATTTTTTTTCTAGTTGTACTTCAGTCCATTGCTAACAAAATATTGATTAAGAAGTTGTACCTGGTCCTTGGCAAAAAGTGATCTGGCTTTCCTACACATACATGTTTTCACAAGTAACTGTGGCGCCTTCATCTCCTGCAGCAGGCCACAAGCAGATGAATCAATAAAAGTAATGTTAGCAACTGCCGCTGCTGAGAGGAGGAATGTCTCATGACCTTCAGTCTTTTCACATAAACCTGCCAAGCAATAAGAATGTCTTTCATCATAAAAGTCAACATAAAAAAAAACCTTGCTCACACACAAAAGGGATCATAAGTTATACGGAAAAACATGTTTTGTGAATAGCAAGCAAAACTTTCTAGCCCAGCTAACAACCTGTAAGTATAACTTGACAACCCACCTAACAATGCTGTAAGTATAACTTGACAACTCACCTAACAATGCTGTAGGTATAACTGACAACCCACCTAACAATGCTGTAAGTATACCTTGACAACCCACCTAACAATGTGGTAAGTATAACTTGACAACCCACCTAACAATGCTGTAAGTATAACTTGAAAACCCACCTAACAATGCTGTAAGTATAACATGACAACCCACCTAACAATGCTGTAAGTATAACTTGACAACCCACCTAATAATGTGCTAAGTATAACTTGACAACCCACCCAACAATGCTGTAAGTATAACTTGACAAGCCACCTAATAATGCTGTAAGTATAACTTGACAAAACACCTAAATAATTTGGTAAGTATAACTTGACAACCCACCCAACAATGCTGTAAGTATAACTTGACAAGCCACCTAATAATGCTGTAAGTATAACTTGACAAAACACCTAATAATTTGGTAAGTATAACTTGACAACCCACCCAACAATGCTGTAAGTATAACTTGACAAGCCACCTAATAATGCTGTAAGTATAACTTGACAACCCACCTAACAATGCTGTAAGTATAACTTGACAACCCACCCAACAATGCTGTAAGTATAACTTGACAACCCACCTAACAATGCTGTAAGTATAACTTGAAAACCCACCTAACAATGCTGTAAGTATAACTTGACAACCCACCTAACAATGCTGTAAGTATAACTTGCAAGGATTCTGCAAAACGGCAGAGGTGTTGGTTCTGGTCTAACACAGGGGAAGTAATCTGAGCAACAACGCCAGCAGCTTCCCCTTGCACAGACTCTATCACATTTTCATCAGTTAAGATATCCATCAAAAGGTCAATACCACTTTCCTGTAGATTAAGTTTTAAGGTTGTTTTATAGATTTATCAAAAGTAGAAAAGGCAGACAGAAGGATGGAATTGAGATATTGAGAGCAGAAAAATGGAGAGAGAGATCCTCAGATGGCCTAATGGTCCACCGGCTTTACACAGGAAGACAATGAAGTAGAAAAACAAAGAGGCTGCCAACCTAAACATTTTTTTTAAGTAGCTGCTGCCGAAGATAATAATAATATATTTTACACAAGAAATGTTTAACTTTCCAACTCAGGTGTTTAATTTAAATCCTTCTACCCAGTATTTTATTCTCACTATCTCAAATTCGCTGGGTGACCAGAATATATTTCATTCAGTCAACGTGTCAATTACACAGTGTGGTTTACCTTCTCCAGCTCAGCAACACATTCTGGGGCACAACAAATGGTGGCCAAAGCCCTCAAGGCTTTTGACCTTGTGAATGCCACATTTTCTCTTCTGCATACATCAACAAGAGCTCGTACACCACCTTCCTGCAAATGTTCAAGAAAGGTCAACTTTAACCAAATAATAAAGTGTAATGTTTTAAAATATATTATATCATATTGAAAGAAAGAAATACATATGCCATCAGGTTTCAAAACAATACTTTTTTTATCTACTTACCTAAGATCAATACATTAGTGCCTTGCACTATTTTTTGTGTGTGTTGTTTTATTACAGAGGAGGCTGTAATTTTTAAATTAAATCAAACGGTTGTTATTGTTAACTATATACAAAATGTTGTTATTGTAATCTATATTAAGACTGACCCTTGCCAGCATGTAACACATGTGTTCCCCCTCCAGTCCCAGAGTGATGATATTGTTGATGACGACATGAAGAGAAGACACGCCAGTGCATGACTCCAGCATCTTTACTATTTTCTGAAAATTAAAAACATATTTTCTTATAATAAAAAATTTGAACAACTAATAAAGCTGGAAGCCATTTAAAGAAGACAATTCATTACATTTAATCATTAACAATAATCTAACGGCTCTAGTAAAAGTTTTTCTCTACACGAAGTGTGGCACACGACGTAATTGTTACCAAACCTCCTGAATGAATGTGCCCAGTCTTCTTCTTCTTCTATATCTTAAGGGCCCACGATCAATTTATTGATCATTTTGGCTCCTATCATTCTGTCTTCATGTTCTTTAAGTTTGCAAATCTCTTACAAAGGTCCCCTTCAACCCCTAAAGCTTATTGAGACTATTATTGAGACTATTATTGCGACTAGTATTGCGACTATTATTGAGACTATTATTGAGACTATTATTGAGACTATTATTGCGACTATTATTGCGACTATTATTGAGACTATTATTGAGACTATTATTGCGACTATTATTGAGACTATTATTGAGACTATTATTGCGACTATTATTGAGACTATTATTGAGACTATTATTGAGACTATTATTGAGACTATTATTGAGACTATTATTGAGACTATTATTGCGACTATTATTGCGACTATTATTGAGACTATTATTGCGACTATTATTGAGACTATTATTGAGACTATTATTGAGACTATTATTGAGACTATTATTGAGACTATTATTGAGACTCTTATTGAAAGATCTTGCAGGGTTTCTTTCAATAGTTTTTTTAGTGAGATGATAAGAAATGAAAAAAAATAACCTGAACTCTGGCACAACTAGTATTGGCTGTTACACTACATCACCATGTCTTCCCAAACCCATTTAAGATTAGACCATTTTTTATAGAGAGAAAACTTGTTATTTGTCTCACATACTCCTCTCTGAACTAACCTTCTTTCCCAAATGAAATAAAGGAGCTCAACAAGAAGAAATCATAACGGAATGGCAAAGAAGTAACGAAATATTCTTTATTATTATTATTTTCTAAATAGCTTTCCTCCCTGTCCTACCATCTTTCGGCCCGCACAAGCTTTTCATAAAGTATTATGATCCGCCTTACATTTTGAGTTGTGCAGGCCTGATGTAATGGAAAATGTAAATTTCAGATTTTCCAAACTTAAGTTAACTTAAAGTGTTAACATTGCTAGCAAGTAAAGATGATTTTGTTGACAATAGTTATATAATAAGTCAATAACCCACCTGCACTAAGTACCCAAGGGTGCAATCAACTAAGCGGCTAAAGGATTGACCAAGGAAGGTCAGTTGATTTACCAGAGGAACCCTATGGACAACATTCTTTTCTGCTGCACTATAAGGGGAAATAAAACAAAATTAACATTTAAGTTGTTAGAAAATGGTTGAATTATGGCCATTCACAGTGGTAATTGCTAGCTTTATCGTTGAATTATGGCCATTCACAATGGTGATTGCTAGTTTCAAGAAAACATAATAGGTTTATTAAGAAAATTGACCATTTTTGTGTTGTTTGCTTAACAAACTGTGTACAGGGTAACCAAATTGCTAAAAATTTTACTTATACCAAGTAATCCATTCTCTAATGATGGGTGTGTACAACAAGCAATATCTAACTTGTAAAGGTTTGTACGACAAGCAATAACTAACTGCCTTGTAAAGGTTTGTGCAACAATCATTATATAACTGCCTTGCAAAAGTTTGCATTTAGTGTAGATAATTAAAATTAAATACCTTGTTGTTTGTTGAACTAATTTTGCCGACTCACACATTACAACTTCTTGTTGCTGAAAGAAAAGTGTGCGCTTCAGATATCAGCCAAGTTGACAATGATAAAAAAAGGACAATATGGACTTCTAATCATTATGATGCTTTCAATGTATGTTATGCTTCCATGTATGATAAATATTTCAAATTATTTAATTCATATTGATAGGAATAAGCTGGATATAAGTAACAAACGTTGCCAGTCATTTTTATTTTTTTTTTTTCTTTTAGAATATTATATTTTTCACAAAGAGAAAAGAAATAAAATTGCAAGCCATTGTCTTAAGTTGCAATGGTACAGAGCATGACACAACACAAGAGCAAAGTTGGTCAAGTTTCACGGGTTGAAATCGATCTGATAAGGACAGCAATATGGCATAGTGAATAAAGCAGCAGGCTTAGATACAATTCCACCAAGAAATACAATTGTACATACCTCTTGAATATAAGATGGCACATCAGCTACATGGGCATTACACAACTGTATTAGTTTCCTAACACTGCAAGTCATGTCCATTGTTTGGTTGTTCAAGGCAACCCATTTGCTGGAGTCAAAGTATCTGAAATTATAAGTTCAACTCTTTTTTACCCAATGACACAACAAAGAAACATATGTAAACTTTTTATTATAAGTTAGTAAATAATTTTTTTTAAATCATTAAATTACAGTACAATTATTTTAAAAAAAACATAAATCTATATTTATTTTTAAATCCTTTAGGATTCAAGACTTACTTGAAAAGAGTGTTAAAGCCCTCAGTTATTTTGTTTGCCTCAAACTTAACCCTGTCAATTGCATCTAGATGTAAAATGTTTAACAAAAACAAACAAAGTTTTAGAAGATATCTCATATTCAAAGTAAGTATTCAGCTTTTTCAATAATTTAAAAAGCACCAAAAGTATTCATATATCTGTTCTTAAACTCTACAAAAATATTTACCAGCCAAATTTTCTTTTTTTACTGTTCATTTTTTCCCCCCATTTTACATTTCTTTATGTTTTTTGTTAGCATATTCTCATCCAACATTGTCTAAATTTATCATGATTATCTACAGTAATGCTTGTGCATAGATATTGATCTTCCACCATGCGCCTCCCTGTGTGGCAGATAGGGGAAAGCCCTCCAGCTATGGTGGGTACTGGGGAAATAAAATACCCGGGGCGGACCAAAATCATAACCTACTGCATTGTTGGAAGTGGAGGGATCCACAAAGTCTAGGGAACCTTACCTGAAAATTAAGGTAGCTACCTGGAGAGTTGTAAGGGGCAGGGCCCCCCCCACCCCCTCCCCTGACAGTTTTGCACAGGGCTAACAACCCCGCCATACAGATACATGTTATGAAAGCCAAACAAAAAATTAAAACATGGACTGATACTAATGGAAATTGACCTATCCCCGAATATGGACATGATTTTTAGATTGCAACTTGGAATTTACTAAGCCTATTTACAGCAACAACCTTAGCCAAACTAATAGATCAACTAATTAAATATAAAATCTCTTTTGCTCCATAGCAAGAAATTAGATGGAAAAATGGAGACCTCCAGAAGATAAAAGACTACACCATATTTTCTGGTGGCAACAACTCAAA